TGCCGAGGTGACTGGGCAGGGAGCCTCCCAGTGTGCTGTCTGAAATCCCTTCCCGGCTCCAAGCCTTGCCCTGGAACACTGTGGGTGGACCACCAGGGACTGACGCATGCCAGGGTCACGGGTGGAGGGCAGCTTAGCTGCTGGGCTCTGGAATAGGACTTGGAATGTTTGGCTTTGTAATTTATTGAGGGTTTTTTCCCTTTCTTTAGTAAACTTTACTTTTGATTTCTAATGGAAAATGGAATGCAGGGAAAGAGCCTCCTGAAAGTGTTAAACTTGCCAGATCACCGTGAATCTAATGAGTCCAAAAGGCCTTGAATTCGGAGATCCAGCGAGGGAAACTGTTCACATTGTGCAGTAGAGGGGATTGCAGAGGATGAGCATTGGAGGGGTTGGTTCCTTTTTCTGTTAGGCGCTCTTTCTTCTTTTGCTCCTTAAGGATTCTTGGTTTGCTCACCCGGTATGCACTCAGCAGAAGCCCCAACTTCTGACAGGAGGAAAATGATTTTCTTTTCATTTTAAAGTAGGTGTACGGCCCGCGCCTGAGATAGTTCACCACATGCCCTTTCCATCTCGGCCTTCGGACGCACAGCCACACACGTGTGTCACGCACCCAGGCACCGTGAACGAGCAGATCCGGGAAAGCGTGGCCCAGGAGGAAGGTCTGGCGAGGCCTGGTGCAGGTCCCGGCGTGGGGCTGCCCCGTGAGGGAACGGGCTGTGCTGCTTTCCTCCCCGAGGCATTACCGTGCGCTTTTCCTCGAGTGATGAATGAGCACTGGGTTTGGGGGTTGAGGCTTATTTTAACTTACCAGATACAGACGTGAAGTAGTAATGTAAACGGGATGGTTTTGCATTTTCCTGGTGTGAGATGCTCCAGATGAACCTCTCCCCACTGCATGGGTGTCTGTTGGCCTAAAACACTGAAAAGAGACCCCCAGGATCTGAGAACCCTCCTGGGTATCAAAGGCCAGAGAAGTCCAGAGACAAATTTTCCAAGACAATTAATGGCCACTGGCTGGACTTAGCAGGTTTGGTATTCTGCAAGTTTCTATTATCTGCTCTGATTTAAAATTCTATTTGCAAAGATGAAAACGGAGCCAGACTATCCCAAACCCAGCCCTTCCTCTGCTGTGAAGAAACCTGCATGGCTGGTCCTGTGTTTGGGTAGAACATTAAATGACAACTTTAATTGAAAAACCCTGGGGAAGCTGACCTAGGGCGTCTTAAGAGAGGGGCCCACTGGCCGTCGTGTGGGTTTGCAGCAGGTTGGTTAAACGGGAAAACCTTTCAGGTAATCTTTTGTTCAGATGTCAACTTTCTGTTCTTTGGACATAATTCTGCAGTTGGGCCTTTAGGGAAAAAGAAACGAATTTCTGGCAGGACCACCTCTTGGATGTGGAACCAACTACAAACACTGTTACTGTTTCCTGGCTGCCGCAGTCCTGTTCGAGTGCGGTTCTACTGGAGGCGTCCTGGCCTCCAGTGTGCCTGGAGGGCCTTGCTGCTTTCGCAGCTCTCTGACCTGCCCCTTCCTTGTGTTGTGTCTTGGGGGTGACCCACCCTCTCCTGCATCCTCGGCCTGTTCCCCTGCACAGCTTTCTTCTTCCTGTTGTACAGACGTGCCCCGGTGTCTCCCATCATAAAAAGCAGACACCCCGCAGGAGTCACCTGTTGCTGCTGCTGCCAGCTGCTACTCTCTAGTGGCTTAAAACAGTACACGTGCATCCTCCTAAAGTTCTGGAGGCAGAGGTTCTAAAATCAGGGTGCGGGCGGGGCTGCCTCCTTCTGGGGGCTTAAGGGGAGATCCATGTCCTTTCCCTTTCCAGTTTCTAGAGGCCGCCCATGTTCCTCAGCCCCAGGCCCCACATCTCTGTGGCCGTTGCTTCCATTGCACATCTCCTTCTCTGATTTCTGAGGACCCTAGTGATGGTCTGGGGCCCCTCAGATGATCTCCCAGTCCCCTAGTGATGGTCTGGGGCCCCTCAGATGATCTCCCAGTCCCCTGCTGCAGAGGCCCTTTTGCCAGGTGAGATGTGTTCACAGGCTGTGGGGGCTGGGCATCTTGAGATGGAGATCTCCACCTCTCTTTGATGCAGAGACCCCGCCCACCAGCCCCCTGCACATGCATGGGCATGCAGGCGCAGACACATGTGCCATTACCTGGCGTGTGAAAGGCAGCCTGGGCGTTGTGTCCCCTTCCTCAGCTGCTGACTGCTTCCCCACTAGTGTGGTCTCCTTCCACCCCGCTCCTCGTGTCCTTGTGCAGAGCTCATGGCCATCTGGTGACCATGACACGAGGTGGCGTGTGTCACGTGTGGTCACGCCCAGCTCGTCCTGTGGCCTACGTGCCTCACTCCTCAGTCCCTCTGCAGCCTCAGGCCTCAGCCGTGCGGTGCTGCTCTTCAGCCTCTGCTCTTCGCCCTCACCCTGGGTGGCCGGCTCATGTGGCGCTGGCTCCCTCAGTAATGGGAGGTGGCTGCACAGCCCTGTCTTCTAAGCCACAGACGCAGTTTTCCAACTGCCCACGGGTCATCTCTGTGGGGCAGCCTGCCGTGGAGCCCCCACACCCTGCACCCATTCTGTAAGCAGACCCGACACTCACCTTCCCTGGGGTCGACCAGCTCTTTCTCTCCGTCACCCAGGCCTTCCTGACCCCGTCAGGCCCTTTGAGGCCAGCCCCAGGTGCCCATCACTGCTCCCCAGTCCAGGAACAGCACCTGCAGCCCGTCTGACACAGGTCACACCTTATGCCAAAGGTCTCGTCAGACCGTGAAGCCAGAAAGTCACGGCCCTCTCCTGCAGTCTTCCTGCCGCCTGTAGACACCTGTAGTTCGAGCAGCAGTGTTGGGGGATCCCCCTGACCCTGGAGGGTCCCTCACTCTCCAGACACCTCCCTGGACTCTGCCAGACCAGCTGCCTGCGCTCCCTGCTGGGATCCCACAATAGCAAACCCCCTGGGCTGTCTTGGCGTCACTGGCTGAATGACCTGTGCTTTCATCTCAGTCTCTTTTCAGATTTCACACTCCTGAAGGAGCTGGGCTTTTCTTTTTCTTCTGTGTCCCAGAATTCTCCTGGTACCCAGACAAAACCGTCTGTATCCAGACTGTATCCTGGGCCAGAGGGCTGGAGTCTGGCTGTGCCACCCACCCCTGCCTGCCTTTAGATGAGCATTGATGTAGTTCGGATGTCTGTCCCCTCCAGATCTCACGTAGAAATGTGATCCCCCGTTGGAGGTGGGGTCTGGTGGGAGGTGTTTGGGTCATGGGAGTAGATCCCCCATGAATGGCTCAGTGCCCTCCTTGAGGTAATGAGTATGTTCTCACAGAGTTCACATGAGACCTGCTCATTTTAAAGTATGTGGCAGCTTCCACCCCCCAACCCCTCACGATCTTGCTCTTGTTCCTGCGTCCGCCATGTGGCATGCCTGCCCCCGCTTTGCCTTCCGCTATGATTGGAAGCTTCCTGAGGCCTTCCCAGAAGCAGATGCTGGCACCATGCTTCCCACACAGCCTGCAGAAGTGTGAGCCAATTAGACCTCTTTTCTCTCTGCGTTACTCAGCCCCAGGCATGTCTTTATAGCAGTGCAAGAACGGACTAACACAGAACCGGCCCCTCCACTTCCAGGGCCCGCTTCACAGCTGCACACCGAGGAGAGGAGAGGCTTTCTGGGGAGGGAGGAGGGTGGCTCCCGGGCCTTGAAGATCCTCAGAGCTCTGCCTGTCCTGTGTCTGAGATGGCTGGTCTTGGGGCGACCTCTCTGCTGCTCCGTAGGATACGTTGTGTGTTCGTCTGTCACTGTGTGGCCACCGTGGCAGAGGCGAGCAGGCACATTTCAGTGGCGTGATCCAGGCAGCCTTGGCCGTGCGGCTGGCTGCGAATGCTGCTGCTGGTTAGGCTAGAGGAAAAGCTGATTCTTTTAAAAATGGTTTTAGTACCCGCTCTTAAGGGCAGAATTTGGAAGGGGTGTGTGTGTGTGTGTACACAAATTGGCTGTGTGCCCATGCTGGGGTGGAAAATACGAAAAAACTCATCATTTTCCCACCTGCCACCGCTGGGCGACACACACTGTGATGGGCGCTTTCCTCCCGGCTCCACAGTGAGGTGGTCCTGCGGAGCAGCGCTCCTCCTTCCGCCTCAGCCAGCCCTGTGCTGGCCACCTACCCTCGTGAACAGGCGTCTTTGTGCTGGCGGGGGCTCTTGTTGCCCCCTAGATCTCCCTGTGCCCTGTGAGGTTGGCCTCTGGGGATCGCCACCTGGGTCCCTGACCTCTCCCAGATGGTGGGAGAAGTGGGAGCTGTAACATCCCTCCTGCAGCTCCGTCACTGCCCAGCTCAGTCCCTGCTGGCCTCTCCGGCAGCATCTGCTCCTCCTGGGCTCTGTGGTCCCTTCCTCCTGTTGCTCCTGGAGCTGTTCAGTGGCTCCCACTAGGGTCAGTCCTGCAGTGCTTCCCCCTCCTTTGCTGGTTTTCCTCAACCCTGCCCACATCTACTTAAAAGGCCTGGATGAAACTTACTTTCCCACTCCGCCAAGGGCCCCTTCCAGCCGGCGGCCCAGCCCTGCAGGGACCCCAAGGGCCCCTGCAGACTCTCTTCAGAGGGGATTTCACCTGGAGGGTTTTCAGAGATAACTTGGTGTTTCCGTTGGTGAACTGTGGTTTCTGGGCCCGAGCCCCATCCCTGTGTCTGCGTGGCTGTCCCTGTCCCCCTCCCGTGGTGCTTGTTGCCCTCCTGACATTAATGAGGACACTCAGGTGGTTCCTTTCCATTTGTGGCTCCCAGCCCCGGAACGGAAGCTCCTGGCAGGCAGGGCTGGGTTATGGTTTGTGTACCTGTGGCATCCTTGCACTCACAGGATAGACCTGCCACAGATAGGTGCTCACCAGCATTGTTGAATGAACTCGTGAATTACAGGCATCTGCTGGGTAAACATTGAACTAGGGGCTGGGAAAACGTTCTTTCACTTTAAACAGAGTGCACCAATGCCTGTTTCCCCCCACAGCTGCCAGGCCGCAAGTACAGCCCTGGGTACAACACCGAGGTGGGAGACAAGTGGATCTGGCTGAAGTGAACGGGCCGCCTTCTGCTCCAGCTGCGTCACAGCGACAGCGACGGCCAAGCTGCACCAGCCGCACTCTCCTGGACGCCATATGGCTTTAAGATCGGGGGAGGGTAAATAATGCGAAAATTGCACAGTGGAAGAAGTGGTCTCACAAAAAGCCATCCATCCTGTGGTGTAGGTAGTGGAGTCGGGGGAGCAGCGTCCATTCTGGATGTTTGGAGCCCTCTGGCTTTGTTTTGGAATGGCCCACCCCTCTCACTGGAAAACAGTGGTCTGCTGTGAACGGCCGGCTCTCGGCGGCCCCTGTGGTTTCAGTGCTGCCCTCTGTGCCATTCAGGTTGTGTACGTTGTTTTTCTTCCGACTTCCAGAAATAAAAGCGTTTCCGTGGGACCTTCCCCGTCGTGCGTCTGTGTGCGTGCGGTCGTGTTGAAGCTGCACACGTGCACACACGCTGCTCTGTGCCCTGTTTGGTGTGGTGTGGTTTAATTGAGACTTACATTATGCTGAAGAGATTTTCTAAAGGCCTACTGTATTTATTTTAGTAATGTGCTACATTAGAGTGGAAAAAAAAAAAAAGAAAGTGGGCCGGACGCGGTGACTCAAGCCTGTAATCCCAGCACTTCAGGAGGCCGAGGCAGGCGGATCACAAGGTCAGTAGATCGAGACCATCCTGGCTAACACGGTGAAACCCCGTCTCTACTAAAAATACAAAAAAATTAGCCGGGCGTGGTGGCAGGCGCCTGTAGTCCCAGCTACTCGGGAGCTTGCAGTGAGCAGAGATCGTGCCACTGCACTCCAGCCTGGGCCACAGAGCCAGACTCCGTCTCAAAAGAAAGAAAGAAAGAGAGAGAGAAAAAAAAAAAAAAAGAAAAGACATAATAAGAAAGGGAAGAAGAAATAGCAGAAGGAGAAAATTACCATAGATTTACAGAATAATATGTTTTAAGAGAGACATTGGAAAAGGTTCACGTGGTGGCTGTCCTCAGCGTCTCAAACTCCTTCCTCTGAAGGAGATTTGAGCTTAGACTGTTGATGGCATAAAATACAAAAGCAAAATGATATACTCTCTTTATTACCCAGAAAATCAAGCTGCCAATCAAAACTGAGAAATGAGAAAGAAAATCACATTTCTTTATTCACCTCTGTCAAAGCCTAGAAAACCAAAACAAGCTGGTTGTGGTTCAGCATCATCGTTTAGGAATTGAGCTGTCAGTTGTGAGTCCTATTGAACTGTGAGTTTTCCATTGTAAAGCTCCACTGTGTCCAATATGGTAGCTCCTAGCCACATGTGGCTATTGAAATTTAAATGAGCTAAAATGTAATACAGTTTAAAACTGGGTTCCTTGGTTGCACTGGCCATAGTTCAGGTGCTCCGTAGCCGCCATGGGCAGCAGTTCCAGTGCTGGTGCAGGGGACGATGCTCTGCTCCCCACGGAAGCTCTGCCAGGCCTCGCTGCCACGGAGCATGCAAAGAAGATGCACACTCCTTCCCTCCTTCCCGCCTTCCCTCCTTCCCTCCTCACATCCGCCAGCCTTTTTCCCTCCTTCTCCTTTCCTCCTCCTTCCCTTCCTTCCTTCCGTCTGTCCTTGTTTTCCTCCCTTCCCTTCCTCCTT